GAAAAAAATACAGCTAAAATGTATATGCAAATTTCTTTAAAATGAGACAAGCTTGAAAGACATAAGACCAAAACTCCAAGACAAAGATGTCCAAAGACGCCGCTCCAAAGACACAAGACGCCGCTCCAAAGACATAAGACACTTTTCTAAGACAAAGATGTTCAAAGATGCGGCCCAAAGACGTAAGACCTCAAAGACAAATGTGTTGTTTTACTGATGAAGCCTTGCAAGCTCCGGTTTCTCAAGCGCGGAGTCTTCGTCTGCTAGGCTCTGCTGCTCTTCTCAGTCTATCCTCAATGTGTTCCGCCGTTTGCTGGTAGCATCCCGTGCGCTGCGTCGTTCTGGCGCATGTGGCTACTTTTCTTCCTAGCCGAGGGAACTTCGGAACTTGTTCGTGGCTGTTTCACTGTCAACCCCAAGCGTTCGTCAAGCGAACTCGTTTCCTCGTCTCCTACTAGACCAATTGCACTCTGGAGCGCAACTGAAGGTCCCAAGTATCTATCTCTGTTATCACTCCAAGAATTATCACTCCTGGCTCTCCAGCCTACCTGCACCTCCGCGCTGCGTCGCGCTTTTGGTCGCTTGTGGCCCTTTTTCTTCCCATCCTTCGGTGCAGGGTTTCCGCACCTCTTCGTCGCACGTGGCTAAATTTTCGAATCCTCTTTCAATCAACACTCTTCACCTATCGATTATCTGGCCATTTGTGTGCATACAGGTGTGTTATGACTGTGCATCTTATACACTGTTCTGACCATCATTCTCACGACAGGTTTGCGGACCGCCAAGTCCACGGCGCTGGATTTGTTTTTTTGCCAGAGGCTCACATCCAAGTATGTCTACTTCGTCATCCTGTTCTACGGCACAGTGACCAGTGCGTTATTAGTTCCGCCGGTCATTCTCGAGCTGTCCCAGCTGCTCGCTATCAGCGCTGCGATCCAGTACATTCATATGTTCCGTTAGCGAGTCTTGCATGTATTTTGTAGCTTTCAATGCAGTTCAGTTGCGGCAATCCTGCCCCACGCGTCGTGAGCACAAATTAAGGGAAGCATTTCCGTCCCTGTATGTCTTTATCTGTGCCTGCAGGTTGCCGCAACATTCCACCTTCAGCTGGTGGCCACACCTACATCAGTAAAACTACACATTCGTCTTTGACGTCTTTGGCGTCTTTGGCAAGACGTCAAAGACGCCAAAGACACATTTTTCCCAAAGACGTGCGTCTTGGGCTAAGTAGATCCACTTGTCTTATAAAGACAAAGGCATCTTATAAAGACGAGGGTGTCTTGGGCAAGACCGTAAAGACGCACCTAAATCCACTCAAGACGCCTCATAAGATGTTCAAAGACTTGCTCAAGACACGAATAAAGATGCAATTTAAAATATATATTCAATAATATATCGTACTATATACATAATATGCACTAAAAAATCCGACTCGCTAACAAGCGTTGAAGAGGACGAACGCGATCGTGGCGTAGTGACGATGGGGTCGGAATGATGCGCTGCAGCGGCGGCGGTGAACGAGCAAGTAAACGAGATGAGGGATTCTATAAATGGTATGTCAGGGCATATTATAGAAAGGATGTGGTGGAAGTACGTACGGTGGCACAGTGTAAACACCGGGGCAGCGGATGTAAGAATGGGGAGGTGGAAGTCAGGAAGAGCCTATAAATATGTCAGTAGAAGCGGGACTCGGCGAATGCACGTAGTGCTGGGTAGGGCCACAGACGGCAGCAAGCGACATTGAAGCGACACAGCGCAAATGGGAAGGGGAGAAGCAGCACGGCAGAAGAGACCACAAGATATTGAGGGACTTGGTGGCTTGATGACGGGCTTGACCGGCTTGAAAAACTTGAGGTTTGAGGCCTTGAGGGTCTTGCAGGTCTTGCCCCAGCCAGGGAGCCACAAGCAGGGGAACGGAGAGGGGAAAGATGGCGGGAAGAAGCAAGAGAAGGGTGTGCGCTGGCATTACCAACCATCTGTCAAGTCACGCCATTGGCGATCCGATCGTTCCTGATGATCGGAACAGCGGAGTTTGAAAGACTTAGAAGTTTTCCACTTTCCCTAGTCAATGCGAAAGATCCTTTCATATTCAATATCTCAACTGATAATGCAACATAACCACTGTGAGTAGCCATTTTTCACTGTATTGAGCCAGATATGAATAAATACAGCTAAAGTGTACCTGTAAAATAAGACATGCATGAAAGACATAAGACCAATACCCCCAGACAAAGAGATTCAAAGATGCCGTTCCAAAGACCTAAGACACTTTTCTAAGACAAAGATGTTCAAAGATGCGGCCCAAAGATGTAAGACGCCAAAGACAAACGTGTAGTTTTACTGATGTACCTGGCCACAGTCTGTGGCCATAGGCTCCTAAACCTGGAATCCACCTACAAGCACCTGGTGGCCAGCTTAAACCGGCATGTTGCAAACATGTCATGTACAGCTGGTGGCAACGTGCAGGACAAATAGCGGTGTACAAGGACTCGGACGCGGCGGGCCCTGACTGATCACTTGTGTGCGTTTGTTGATTCTACCCGCCGTCGCCCTCCTCTTACTAACCATCTCACTAAGGCCGAACTGCGGTCCAAGGTCTTACTAGCAGTCGTGGTGTTAACGCGACCTGGTGGCGGAGTGGTCTGCACCCACAAATAATAGTAGGAGACGAGCGTTTTCGCTGGGAAGTCCTTGTTCGACTCAAGGCCAGGTTGTATAATAATATCAGTGTTCTCCCTTAAGCCCTTATTAAGGGTAAAAATTTTGTTTAAGCCCTTAAGTCTTATTAAGGGTACTTAACTTAAGGGTATGTTAAGGCCTTAAGTATCACGTGTCGTATATTATTCCATGATAATGACCTCTCTATTTTAATTAATCTTTCTTTACTTCTCACTACCCGTGTGTCTATATGCATCCTGACAGACAAACAGCTATCCGCCTGTTGCCAAATCCTGCTTGAATCAGGTGGATCATCGATCACTGCCGTCCCATTCCTCTTGGATAGGCTAAAGTGTTTGACAAGGAAATCCACAGCCACTGTAGTTCACATGGGTTGAAGCTTCCTTTCCTACATGGTAGAAATACCCTCAATAATTGGGTGTACAAGTAGGTCAAGAAAATTGTGCGATCAAAATATAATGATGCCATCATTAAGCCTTAATTAAGACCTAAGAAATTCTGGACCACTTGTTAAGCCCTTAAGTTAAGTGCATTTTAACCCTTAAGTGGACTTAACCCTTAAGTCTTAGGTAGAACACTGGTTGTATTCGTCGTGTCCTCCATCCTTTTTGCAGACTGCAGCATTTTTGAACTCTGGCCATCCAAATTTTCTCGAAATTCCTGTCGATCACAATATCGCCTGGATGTCGGAGCGGTCCGCCCCCAATAACAATTTAAATTGTCGTCTCCCGACCTCGTTGTATGTATACTTGGGGACATTGGAACTTCGCTTTTAACGCTTGCCTACGCTCAAAATCAGCGGCACTTAGGCAGGTTCGACCGAAATGAAATATGACCTGGAAGCGGAGCGGTCCGCGCCCAAAGATAATAATTGGTTACCTTGAATACTGTTGGGAGGCCCTTGTTCGACTCAAGGCCAGGTCATACTCCATTCATGCCATCTTTTTTCTCTAAACTTCCAAGCCTTCCTTTCGTTCTCTTTCATCCGAATGGCGCACACTTACTCGCCAGGAAGGTGAATTATAATATTGTTCCATTCATGGTCGCTTCTTTCCCTTTGTCGGTTTGACTCCAGTCGAGAATCGAGACTGACACACTTATACAGGTTCAATACAAGGAAAAATACGACCTGGAGGCGGAGCGGTCCGCGCCCGAAGATGGTAGATCAGCTCATGAGGACACACCCTGCACATCCAGTTGGGCGGCCCTTGTTCGACTCAAGGCCAGGTCATTCGACTCTATGAATGAAGAGTTTTTTCTTCCAGAATTTTCGCATCAAACCCGTGTGTCTAGTCAATTACCTCAGGGATTCTTTTTGTTGCCATTCTTAAGCTCAAAGTCGGCGGCACTTCTCCACCCTCAACCGAGATGAAATACGACCTGGAGGTGGAGTGGTCCGCGCCCAAAGATCGTCCTAGTTTATTCGCATATATTCCTGGTTGGGAGGCCCTTGTTCGACTCAAGGCCAGGTCGTATTTTGTGTCCTCCATTCTTTTTGCAGGCTACAGCATTTTTGAACTCCAGCCGTACAAATTTTCTCGAAATTCCTATCCATCAAAATATCGCCTGGATATCAGAGTGGTCCGCCCCCAACAGCAATTTGAATTCGCGCAATAGCAATTTAAATTGGCGTCTCCCGACCTCGTTCTATGTATATACGTGGGACTTAGGACTTCGTTTTTAACGCTTGCCTACGCTCAAAATCAGCGGCACTTAGGCAGGTTTAACACAAGGGGAATATGACCTGTTGGCGGAGTGGTCCGCGCCCATCAAGAATTCTGTTCGGTTAAATGGGAGTCCCTTGCAATTGTTCGACTCAAGGCCAGGTCATTATCGGTTTCTTCGCTCGAATTTTTCTTTTATCTCAACTTTCATGCCTTCCTTTCGTTCTCTTTCATCCGAATGGCGCGCACTTAACCCACTCACAGTGAGACGAAGTATAATATTGCTCTATTCATGGTCGACTCATCAAGCGTCTTTCTTTTTGTCGGTTTGACCCCAATCGAGAATCGAGACTGACACATTTATACAGGTTCAATACAGGAAGAAATACAACCTGGAGGCGGAGCGGTCCGCGCTCAAAGATACTGACCCGTTGCTATGTGCTCAGTTGAGAGCCCTTGTTCGACTCAAGGCCAGGTCATAACTGGGAAAACTGTGAGTTTTTTAAAATTGGAGCCCATTTAATCCGAATTATTCAACCCATATGAAGACCAAGTGCAAGTGCGATACTGTTCGATTCAAAGTCAGATCAGTTCCACGGTTTTCTTCCCGGCCATTGAGAGTTCCACATTTATTCAGGTTCGATACAAAAGGAATGTGACCTGGAGGCGGAGTGGTCCGCGCCCAAAGATAGTATCACTCTTCCACACTTCATTTGGGAGGCCTTTGTTCGACTCAAGGCCAGGTCATGGGCTGGGTCCGTGTGATCTTTTTTCTCTAAACTTCCAAGGCTCCTTCATCTTAACCTTATTCAACCCACGAAATATAATATATCTGTTCGATTCACAGCCAGGGCCCAGTTCCAAGCTTTTTCTTTTTTTATTTCTTTGCCTTTGATTCAAGTCCCACACATCTATTCAGGTTAGTTCAGGTTCAACGTTCAATAAAGGTGAAATATGTCCTGGAGGCGGAGCGGTCCGCGCCAATCATAATGAGATGAGTAACTCGTAGCCTTGGGAGCACCTTGTTCGACTCAAGGCCAGGTCATCGCAAACTTCACACATCCTTTTTTTCGTCTGCCAGGAGTTCACACCCAACCCGTGCGCCTGCTTCTCCGAAAAATGTTGCCTTTTCTGTGAGCCTTGATTTACTCTGCCTTTTTCCTAAAATCCGCGGCACTTACGCAAATTCACAGTAAGATGAGTATGGCCTGGAGGCGGAGCGGTCCACGCCCACACCCCAAATAAGAGTTCCTTGTTTGACTCAAGGCCAGGCCATAGCGCACGCTCCTAGCATTTTTTAAAAATCTTAACGTCCGGGCTTCCTTTGGTCGCATTTAAGCCGATTTATTCAACCCACATGAATATGAAATATAACAACATTATTTCACAGCCAGGTCAGTTCCACGATTCTTTTTAAAACTCGTTGACTCCAATGGACGTTTATTACAACAGGAATCCTACCTGCAGGCGGAGCGGTCCGCCCCCACACCCATGGAAAGGAATTGGGAGTCCCTTGTTCGACTCAAGGCCAGGTCGTCACTTGGACGTCATTCGCCCCGGGCAAGCTTATTCAACCAGAGGGAGGCGAAATATGATATTTTTTCATTCACCTTGGTGTGGCTCAACTTCCAAAGTTTTTTCTCGTTCTTGTTTTTCTGACCTATGGCTCCACCATACGGACTTATTCAGGTTCAATGCTGCATTAATACGACCTGGATGCGGAGTGGTCCGCGATCAACCATAATTAATTAGCTGGTTCATCTCAGTGTACGCTTGGGAGGCCCTTGTTTGACTCAAGGCCAGGTCATAGATCTTTCGTCCTCATGTTTTCTACTTGCAGATTATTCGTCGTGTCCTTCATCCTTTTGCAGGCTGCAGCATTTTTGAACTCCGGCCGTCCGAATTTTCTCGAAATTCCTGTCGATCGAAATATCGCCTGGAGTGGTCCGCTTCCAACAGCAATTTAAATTGGATACGCGGGACTTGAGACGTCGTTTTGGACGCTTTTCTACGCTCAAAATCGGTGGCGTTCATGCAAGTTCAACACAAGTGAAGATATGACCTGGAAGCGGAGCGGTCCGCGCCCAAAGATAATAATTGAGGCGCAGCATTCTATGGGGAGGCCCTTGTTCGACTCAAGGCCAGGTCATGATCTGACACCATGAGATCTTTTTTCCCTAAACTTAGGCTCCGTTCATTCTCCTTCATCTGAATCTTATTCAACCCACGAAATATAATATATATGTTCGATTCACAGCCAGAGCCCAGTTCCAAGGTTTTTCTTTTTTTCTTTCTTTGCCCTTGATTCAAGTCCCACACATCTATTCAGGTTAGTTCAAGTTCAATAAAGGTGAAATATGTCCTGGAGGCGGAGTGGTCCGCGCCGAATCATAATGAGGCGAGTACAACGTGACCTTGGGAGCGCCTTGTTCGACTCAAGGCCAGGTCATAGGTCTGCCCTTTCCTCATTTTTTCTACTTCCAGAATTATTATTGCGCATCAAACTCGCCGTGCGCCTGCTCATCCAAAAATATCGCCTTGTTGCACTGTTTTGTCCGCGCACTGAATTCATTAGGCCTTTTTGGACGCTTTTCTGCGTCAAAATCCATGGTGTTTATGCAGGTTCACAGGAGAGTGAATATGACCTAGAGGCGGGGCGGTCCACGTCCAACTATATTGCCACATCTACACTTGGGAGGCCCTTGTTGTACTCAAGGCCAGGTCATGTTTCTGCCTTCTCAGCTTTTTCTATTCCACATTAAATTTAAATCCGTGTGCCTACTCCTCCGAGCGAAAATCTGAATTAATTCTAGGGCTTTTGTTGTTGTTGTTCTGAGTCGTCCACCCACTTCCGCGCGTCGTTGACTTCTCATCACCCGCATCAGAACCGGTCAAAGCGCGGTCTAGCACCCGCTAGGGGTGGATCAGCTTCCCAGAATGATAGTCTCTTTTTACGATTTCTTGTGACTCTGTTATAAAATGAATGCAACTGACTTGTGATGAAAAGGATGCGCAAAATCTCAAAAGATCTCCACGCCATTTGCCCACTCTCAAGGTCCGTGCGCGGCGAGAAAGGCGTATAGTTAGCGGACGGGAAAGTGTAGGAAAGGCGAGGAGCCAAATAAGGAGGATAAACGCGAAAATAATCGGAGAAGGGGCGAGCGAGGGCAAGAGGGATGATGGGCGGGAGGGGTGAGAAGGGCAGAGGCAAGGGAGGCGCGCGGGCAAAAGAAGCGATAGGCAGGGATTCGAAGAACGAGGGGGGAAGGAAAGGTAACGACGGCAAACGAAGGGAGAGGACGGGGCGGGGAGGGTGCGGTGCGGTGCGGTGCGGTGCGGTGCGGTGCGGTGGGAGCAGAATGAGAAAGGGAGGATAGACGCGAAAAAAACAAGGCAATGAAGTGCGGGAGCAGGCGAGCAAGGTGGACGACGGAGACGACATGGGGAGGGGCGATAAAAGGAAGGGGGGAAAAAGAGAGAGAGAAAATGAGAAGAAGAAAAATAGATAAGGACGGCGGGGCACTGTCGTTATCGCGCTGTACACGATATCGTGTATAGCAAATCGAGAGCACCAGCAGCACGACCACGCTACGGCCCAGTGGATCGAACAAGACGTGCGTCGTCACCCCGCCAGTCGCCCTGAGCACGAGACCCTGCAAGGGTGACGGCAATAAAGGTCAGGGCAACGCCGCTATATCCCCAGGCCCCGGGCCCTCGCGCACTGTTGCCTCCAAAAATCCGGGTAGCACACCAACGCCACGGCCAGCGCCCCGTCTATCGATCCCGCCGCACAAGAAGAGCAAAGCGCACAGGCACAAGACCACCCAGACTTACCACATCTCTTCCCCTAATCCGTCCGGCAGACACAGCCGCCGCCGCCGCCGCCCTCCTCGCCGCACGCGCCTCCCTCGACTTCCTCGGAAGCCCTGTCGCACTCATACTCGGACCGACCGCAAACCCCCTTCCGGCCAACCACGCCTCGAGTATGCACCCCACCATGTCGAGCGTGTCCGCCTGCACCACGCGGCTGCGGATCGGCTCGCTGCAACTCACGCCGATGTTCACGACACACTGGAACGCGAGGCTGAAGCGGTACGCGGCGTGCTTGTCGAACTGGCCTGCTGGGGGTTGAGCGTGGGCACGGGCGCAGGGGGGCGGTAGGAGGGGGGCGGTAGGAGGGGGGCAAGAAGCCATAGAACTGGGAGGGCGACGCGGGCGGGGGCGGGGCGACGCAGAAGTCGTGCAGGATCCGCACGAGCCGCTCGAGCCCGCCATCCATCGTCATGATCTCGCGGATCCGCGGCGAGGTCGACGTGAGGTATGTGAGGTGCGTAAGAGAGTTGAATAGAGGCAGCGCAGAGGACGTGTCGAGTGCTGTAGTCCTATTAGTATATCTTATAGGACGAGTAGACCGTACCCACCCCTCCTGTCGTACAGCTGCGAGGTGATGCACACACACGCCTTGTTCTGAGCCGGGAACGCAAAGTTCGACTCGCGCATCGTCGGCCGTCGATTCTACGAACAAGAGGCAGACAAGCAAGAAGAACAGGAAATGAAAAAGGGTACAAGGACTCGGACGCGGCGGCAGTGGCTCTGACTGATCACTTGTGTGCGTCTGTTGATTCTACCCGCCGTCGCCTTCCTCTTACTAACCATCTCACTAAGGCCGAACTGCGGTCCAAGGTCTTACTAACAGTCGTGGTGTAAACGCGACCTGGTGGCGGAGTGGTCCGCACCCACAAATAATAGTAGGAGACGAGCGTTTTCGCTGGGAGGTCCTTGTTCGACTCAAGGCCAGGTTGTATTTGTCGTGTCCTCCATCCTTTTTGCAGACTGCAGCATTTTTGTAACTCTGGCCATCCAAATTCCTGTCGATTACAATATCGCCTGGATGTCGGAGCGGTCCGCCCCTAATAGCAATTCAAATTGGCGCAGTAGCAATTTAAATTGGTAAGGCCCTCCGGGCATCCCTGGTACCTGGATCAACATATTACCACAACCGTGATATGTACCTGTGAACCGATTTCGGGCTAACAACAAAGTGGGGACTTTGCGTTCAAATTCCAGCACACGGGAATTACCCGGTAATGATGGTCAGTGCCCATAATACCTGCGCGAGAATTCCAGATAATAATGAAGACAAATATGAGAGGAAGAAAGGGAATCGGAATGAACGAGGCTCAGGGACTGTACGGTGTGTACAACCTTATTCACCGACCCCCGCGCTATTCCATCACCCCTCCACAATGGCAGTTGGTATGCTGGCTGCGAGAATGCGACAGATCCTCGGACATACTGTTCAATAAAATATTTCAGATACTGTTGATATAATCCGTGTGAGAACACGGGGATGAATTTGACCTGCGAAGTATTAACATTCCACATTGGGAATCTGAAGGATAATCTCAAATTCGGAGATAGTTGATTAAGTGCTAAAGATAGAACGCCTGAACACCGTTTGCTATTTTTTTAGGTCTTCCATCACCCATTTCCCCGCCGCTCATATTAGAGGCTGGCCTCAAGACCATAAGACAAGTATGCAGTTGTTAGAGATCAAAGGCATTACGGGAACTGCCGCAGACGAGTAGCGACCTGTGTGATATCCGATATGATACAGTTGAAGGTGAAGAGGATGACTGAAATTTTGTGAGAATGAGCAGGAACTAGACAATTTGAATCAAGAATCAACACGGCAACTTCATAGCCATCACGGGAAGTGCCGGAGACCTCTAGCTACCCGAATTTAACCGTTACATGCCCGGATTGATACGGTAACCACAAGTGGTGCAAAATCACAAATTTCGACTTTTCGATTTCAGACCTGGTAACCTACATCGGTACCAGGAATTGTCGTCTCCCGACCTCGTTGTATGTATACTTGGGGACACTGGAACTTCGTTTTTAACGCTTGCCTACGCTCAAAATCAGCGGCACTTAGGCAGGTTCGACCGAAATGAAATATGACCTGGAAGTGGAGCGGTCCGCGCCCAAAGATAATAATTGGGGCGACCCGCATTCTGTTGGGAGGCCCTTGTTCGACTCAAGGCCAGGTCATTCTTGATTTCTTCCCTCAATTTTTTGTTTTATCTCAACTTCCAAGCCTTCCTTTCGTTCTCTTTCATCCGAATGGCGCACACTTGTTCACCAGGAAGGTGAATTATAATATTGTTTGTTCCATGCATGGTCGGCTCACCAAGCTTCTTTCTTTTTATCGGTTTGACTTAGACTTCAATCGATCGAGACTGACACATTTACACAGGTTCAATCCAAGGAGAAATACGACCTGGAAGCGGAGCGGTCCACGCCCAAAGATAATAATTTGCGACCTAGCATTCGGTTGGGAGACCCTTGTTCGACTCAAGGCCAGGTCCTTCGATTCTATGAGGAGTTTTTTCTTCCAGAATTTTCGCATCAAACCCGTGTGTCTACTCAATTACCTCAGGGATTCTCTTTTTGTTGCCATTCTTATGCTCAAAGTCGGCGGCACTTCTCCACCCTCAACCGAGATGAAATACGACCTGGAGGTGGAGTGGTCCGCGCCCAAAGATCGTCGGAGTTTGTTAACAGCTATTTCTGGTTGGGAGGCCCTTATTCGACTCAAGGCCAGGTCGTATATTGTGTCCTCCATTCTTTTTGCAGGCGACAGCATTTTTGAACTCTGGCCGTACAAATTTTCTCGAAATTCCTGTCGATCGAAATATCTCGTCTGGAAGTCGGATTGGTCCGCCCCCAACAGCAATTTAAATTGGCGTCTCCCCACCTTGTTCCATATACGTGGGACTTGGGACTTCCTTTTTAACGCTTGCCTACGCTCAAAATCGGCATTTAGGCAGGTTCAACACAAGTGAAGATACGACCTGGAAGCGGAGCGGTCCGCGCCCAAAGATAATGATTATGGCGCAGCAGTCTATGGGGAGGCCCTTGTTCGACTCAAGGCCAGGTCATTACATTATTTCTGTTCTCAATTTTTTTCTTTTATCTCAACTTCCAAGCCTTCCTTTCGTTCTCTTTCATCCGAATGGCGCGCACTTATTCACCAGGAAGGTGAATTATAATATTGTTCCATTCATGGTCGCTTCTTTCTTTTTGTCGGTTTGACCCCAATCGAGAATCGAGACTGACATATTTATACAGGTTCAATGCAAGGAGAAATACGACCTGGAGGCGGAGCGGTCCGCGCCCAGAGATAGCACTCCGATGCTAATCCACTCATTTGGGAGGGCCTTGTTCGACTCAAGGGTAAGTCATAGGTGTGTTCCCTCCTCATTTTTTTTTATCTCCACTTCCGAGCTTCCTTTCGTTCTCTTTCTTCCCAACCTTGCACACTTATTACACTCACAGGGAGACGAAGTAGAATATGGTCCGATTCACGTCGGTGGGTCAAAGTTGCGAGGTTTCTTTCTTGTTGTTCTATCGTTTGACTCCCCCATACGCACTTATGCAGGTTCAATACAAGAGAAATATGACCTGGAAGCGGAGTGGTCCGCGCACACTCGTTGCCTCAAGGGTTGCATTTGGGAGTCCCTTGTTCAACTCAAGGCCAGGTCATGCCCGCTTGCGAGTGTTTTTTTTTTTTCATTACTCCAATGCTTTCCATCAAACCCGTCGTGTGCCTGCTCATCGAAAATATCGGCCTCTTGTACCATTTCCTACACGCACTAGCCATATTTTTCTGGCGAGACGGCATTCATTTCTGTGTGTTGAAAAATTTCCCGTTTATTCAGGTTCAATACAAGGTGAAATACGACCTGGAGGCGTGGTCCGCGCCTATACCTCGTGTCGGATGTTTGTATAGGACGTTCCGTGGGAGTCTCTTGTTCGACTCAAGGCCAGGTCATGATCATGGTTGAGGTCTACTTTGTTTTTTATCTAAACTTCCGAGCCAGCTTTCGTTCTCCTTCATCCTAGCCGCACCCACTCATTCCACTCCCAGGGATGCGAATAATATTTTTTTCTATTCACGGTGTGGTCAAAGTTCCAGGGGCTTTTTTCTTTTCTTGTTTTTCCGTCCTTTGGCTCCCCCATACGCACTTATCCAGATTTAACGCTGCATGAATATGACCTGAAGGCGGAATGGTCCGCGCCCTCGATCAGTACCCCGACTCTTTGATATTATTGGGGATTCCCTAGTTCAACTCAAGGCCAAGTCGTGCATCCCTAACACATTGGTTTCTTTTTCTTCAAAAGACCCTTTGCATAAACACCATCCTCTTACCTCTGAACTTTTTTCACGTGCACTGAATTCCTTGTACTGGGACTTTTAATTTGCTGCCATTCTGCGTTCACAATCTGCGGCACTTGAGCAGCTTCACTGCAGTTGTAATTTATCTTATTTTCATCGTTCTTTGCCTTGAAATCCATGGCGTTTATTCAAGTTCACTACAGGAGAAATATGACCCGGAGGCGGGGCGGTCCGCGCCCAATTATAATAATACCGCTGCCATCCATTTGGCTGGGAGGCCCTGTTCAGCCAGAATACATCGAAGGCAGAGTATGACAGATTGCACTTACCATCCCGTGGGGCACGGCAATGGCGGAGCCAGCGAGAGATGCGAAGAGCGAGAAGAGGGAATATTTGAACAACATTTTGGATAAAATGAGAAAAATGAAAGATGCAGGCTTGGGTTGGGGCTCTTTTCTATCCAGCTTGTTTATCAAGCAGCTGGCGCAGAGTGCGTTGTAGTATGAGCGCGTCTTGTTTCTTTTATCCCTGCGCACCCTTCGTTTCTCTCTCTTTTGTGTCGTTCACCATTTGCGGCTTCCTCCTTGCTTACACCTTTCAGTATTCGCGTTCCTTGCGAATCTGCCGAAACGCGTTAATAGCAGAACATATATATTACCTGGAAGTGGAGCTCAAAGCCAGGTAATATTGCGCCCATGCGAATTTTTTTCATCTCAACTTATAGTTTCTGTTCGTTCTCCTTCATCCAGGTCCTAACGGGTACACTCATTCGACCCGCAGGGAGACGAATCATTCTATTGCTCAATTCGCAGTCGGGTCAGTTCCACGGTTTCTTTTTGTCTTTTTATTCTTCTTTCCTCTTCTCCTGCACTTTTAGTTATTTTTCCGGTCAGCTCGCCACGCGTCGTCTATAAGGGGGGGTCTCGTCCCACAGAATGTCCGATGGATGTTTATTCTAAAAATGTGTCCGTTGCCTGCCATCGTGTCCGTTCCAGCCTCAATTTCCAGGCACCTCTCCGTGATTATCACCCCGTTCCGGTACAACACTCACGGGGCTATTTAAAAAAACCCGTCGGGAGGTCGCAAGTTCCGGAATCTGTTTTCTTGACATGCGCTGCACCAACTGCTTCTATAATGATACTAATATTGAATTATACGCTATCGGGGTGTAGATGATTTCTGTATTCGATTTCAATTGCTGCTCTCAATTTAATGGTTCCCTCACTGCTGGCTACTTGCCACAGTACATGACGCCCCGAATTTCATATGGTGTAAGTAATTGTCGAAAATATTCAAATCTTTCCTGACAGGGCATAGGTATTTGCATCTAGATCATCGCTGTTGATGAACAAGGAACACAGGGGAGATGATAATGTCTGTTGACATATAAAAAGTTCTGCACTTCATTATGAAACCTGCTTCCCCCACTGCGACAACTGCCATGCACCTCGACAGCGTTGTCAAGTACACCACTCTTGCAGCTACCACTGCACAAGAAATTGCGAGCATATACTCAGTGCCTTTCTTAGCCTCAGCTGCGACATTAACTTCATCAATTCTGAAATGTGTCGAGGTCAGTCAGGCCCTAAAGGGATAAGAAAACCGACTAATTCCTGTTTCCAGTCAATGAAAGTGAACCAGGATGAATGTGTTGAAATTGTCCAGCAGATTCATGAAATTCTCTGTACCGTTGTAAAACTATCCACTGCGACTGAAGTCAACGGTGTGCCTCCTACTGCACTCCTGTATGACATTGCACAATTCACAGAGTACGGACAGTTTAGCTCTGATTTCTTGGCACACTTTAATTCTTTTTGATAACATTTAGAACACTCCAAAAAATCTTCACCTCTCTGAAAGCACAACAGAGCATGGGCAAAATCAGGAAGTTTTTCACACAAGCCAGTAATACTACCCGATTGGAGGCACACTGTCTAGAGCTCAATCGTGCCCTAGAAATTTCCAGGGTACATTCATCCCTCATCAATTATTTTACTGTATATTTGATATATTCAGGCTCAAGCCGGTGGTTCCGTGGTTTCTCAAATGTCACAAATTCAAAAAGATGCAAAGGAACAGCATGAAGAGCTGGTTGCCCTTTTGGCTGCTCATCAAGACCCTACCAACTCTGATCATTCTTCGGTCAGTTGTAGTTGATCTCCATCAATATCGCCAACTCATATTTATTAGGTCATTGGATCTCTATCGAGCAGGTCAGCGGAGCAGAGAAGTAAACTGAACATCGCTCACAACTTTGATAGTTTGGCATCACTCTTAATACTTCCACCAACTCCCAAAATTTTCCATGGCCGTGAAACCGAGTTGCATGATATTGTGAACCTTCTCCTCCAGGATTCCCCCCGTATCGCAGTCCTCGGTGCAGGTGGCATTGGAAAAACTAGCCTCGCTGCCGCAGCCCTGCATCATCCCAAAGTGGAAGCTAAATATAGTCAGCAATACTTCATTGGATGCCACTCGACTCCCACCTGTGTGGAGTTGGTAGCGACTATTGCAGATCACATTGGTGTGGAAAAGGGGCCAAATTTGTCAAAGAGGATTATGCATTATTTCACGAATTCCTCTACATATCTGCTGGTCTTGGACAACTTTGAAACTCCATGGGAATCTTTGAGGTCAAGGCCTGCAGTTGAAGAATTTCTCTCGCTCCTCACTGATATTCCTCATTTGGGGCTGATGGTGAGCAAACTATGTTTATTTCCAAAAGTCTTCTCACATGCATCCTTAGATTACACTGAGAGGGGCTGAGCGACCAACAAAAGTCAAATGGACCCGCCCGTTCTTGGCCCCTCTCAGCCCACTGTCCAGCACTGCAGCTCGGCAAATATTTATGGATGTTGCAGATGATACACATGACAAAGAAAGTGTTAAACAACTCCTTGACCTCACCGGGAATCTTCCACTGGCAGTCAGCCTCATTGCAAATGTGGCAGCATCTGAAGGCTGTGACAAGGCACTCTCCCGGTGGAAATCTGAGAGCACACAGATGATTTCAGATGGATATGATCAAAGATCCAGCCTCCACATATCAATTTTGCTGTCTTTCACCAGTCCGCGGATGACACCAGGAGCACAGGACCTCCTCAGCATTGTTTCTATGCTTCCGGATGGATTCACAGACTCGGAATTGGTGAAATCAAAGCTTCCAATCAGCAACATCCTTGCCTGCAAGGCCACCTTGATCCAGACTTCACTTGCATTCATTGATAAAGAACAGAGGCTCAAAGTTCTGGTCCCTGTCCGGGAACACATCCTCAGCATTCATCCTCCGAAAAACACACTGAAACTGAGGCTACGAAAAAACTTCCATGACCTCCTCAATTTGTGGGACCGATTTCAGACTTTGAAGATACAAGAAATAGTGCTTCAAATATCGCAAAATCTAGGCAATCTGAACAGTGTTCTTTCGGAGTCATTGAGCACAGAATGCTCTGATTCAGTTCAAAATTATCAGAGCATTCTGAATCTGAACCGTTTCTGTATTAAGATACAGCAAACCTTTTCACCTCTGCTAGTTGATCTTGCTGCACCGATGGCACATGTTGAAAACCACTCAATTTTCGGGGACTACCTGATCGAGTGTTTTGACAGCTGCTTTGCCTTACCTGTGAAAAATCCGGAAGTTCAAATTGCACTTAGAAATCAGTATTTCCAAACCAGGGATGTGTTGCAACAGGGTGAGTCATAGATTCCGCTTCAATGCTCTTTACATAAGCTAATGTCTGGCTAGTGAAATGGCAGCAA